TTTGTAAATTCCACCATTGATTACCTCCTAATTGAATACCTCTGATAAAGGAGAATATTTGTAACTCAGGACTGAAATAAGGGATCGTTAGTGCTCTCTGAGCTTGATTGTTTCCTTACACATGTTTATTACCCAAATGACATAACATCATTACTGCTAGTCAGGAATGGGGTTTACTCAGCTGTCAATTTGTATTCTAGAGGCTTAACTTATCAATGTTGGTGGTCTTGTTGGTCTGATGTTAATCTTGGTGTTGATTCAGAGGTGGTATTCTACCGGTTCGGACTGATTCGCTTGAACTGGTAGCGAAAATCGTAGATGGCCCCGCCCACCTGCCCCACCTCTATGACATCCTATTTAGGCCCCTTTTTAGCCAAAAGCACATGCACATAAGGCTGAATGCATGCTCGGAGTTGGCGTGTGCGAACAAAGCATGCACACACATCCACTCACATTTGAGAACCGGTAGAGAAGGTAAGTGAATACCACCCCTGTGTTGATTTATACAAACAACAATCAACAAGTCAAAAAGGGAACAAAAAGACCACAATACGTCCCCACCAGCAATGAACACCTAGATGAGCATAGAGTTAACAGCTAGATTAACATCAGACCAACAATCAAGAAGCAAACCGTACCCCAATCAAGGAACCGCCAAACAAGGCAACAGTGAGCAGCCCAACCAAAGACCAGCCCAGGGCAAGTCGCTAGAATGTAAATTGAGAGCAAATCTCATTCCTTACTAGCACTGATGATGTTACCTAGTTTCGATAATAAAAATCTGCAAGGAAACAACCAAGCTCAGAGAACACCTTAATTGAATATTAGTTTTAAGCAATTGTCTGTCTTTCTATATTCTTAAAGGAAAAAAAAAGTTACTCTTGTCCCTTCGTATTTAAATATAGCTAAATATGATGTATGTACGTATTTTCTACTTTTACTTTTCACATAAAAGAATGTATTTTCTGCAGCCATTTGCTTTAGTCAGGCCAAATGTTCCTGGCATATTGCTTTACCTTGGCACGCTACCTGTTAGCAAAAGCCACTTTGCAAGGAACATCTGTACTGCAAACTTCAAATTGTTTAAATTGCTCTTACTTTCTGTTCTGTTCAGCACTGCAAATCTAATCAAATAATTTTGGACAGCTGCTGGGTCACCTCCAATCAAACTGTCCTTAACCATATGCTGCTAAATAAATTTGAAATAAAATATGGGAGAATGGCAGCTACTGCCTTTCTTAGAGATTTAGAGAGTAACTGGATAAATATCGATTTTTTAGAACATCTTATCCCACTGCTGGAAGCACTTGATTCTGTAACCATGAATCGATTGACAAATGTTGCTGTAGGAGGTCTCTATAGAAGAAACAAAACACTCACATATTTTTAAAACTATATTGACTTAAATGTATTTTACTCTCTTGATGAATTAATACCTAGTAATGGCTTTGCGTTCATAAAATATCTTTTTAATTTGGATCCTGGGGATAGTTCACTAAACAGGAGACAATTCTCAGTATGGTTTCGTGTCTTTCATTTGAATGCCAACAAATGGTGCTATATTAAGGAACAATTAAATCATGCAACTTTGTGAAGCCTTAGAAAGCTACACCAAATGACAAACTCTGCAAAGGAAAAGGCATCACCTTCTTTTTAAAAAAATAACTTTTTATTTTGTTTGTACAAACGTCACATATTTAAGTCCAATAAACATAAGTCCATGTGTTATAAGCATATAAGTCCAATAAACCTAAACCTAACCTAACATCTTCGCAACACATTACATTTTTTTACATATCTGTTGTGATTCTTTTATCTATACAAATAAATATTTTATAACTATAACTTTATATATATGTACATTTATATTATTTCATATTTTTTCATTCTATATATAATATTCTATATATTCTATGTATAACAGCCTTTACTACATTTGAGTCATTTTGTATACTATTTATTTGCTACAGTCTATCTCGTATTTCTATCTTTTAATCATTTTCCGGTTTTGTAGTTGTTTATTAATTTGTTGATCTTTCTTTCTTTCTTTTTTGCTTTCCTGCTCCCCCCTCTTCAGTTGTACCATAAATCCCATACAGAGTAATATTCAGATTCTTCTTTCTCTTTTAGTTCTTTCATGAGCCTATCCATCAGGAAACCCTATATACTTTGAGACAAGTGGCTGTCCAGTCTCTTCTTAAAAACCTCTAGTAATGAAGCACCCACAACTTCTGAAGGCAAGCTGTTCACTGGTGAATTCTTGGAATTAATCTTGCCTTCTAAAGTTGTGAATCAGCCTAGCCAGTAAATTTAAATCTGTCTAGCCTGTATGAAATACACATCAACACCTCCAGCACAAGTGAGGATGAAAACTGAGGTGAAGAAGTTTCACATGGACATTTCTTGGACATCCTTCTGACTAAATAGGTCCAAGAAGAGTCTACAGTCATATAATGACATATGGACCAAAGTCACAGATTTATAGATTCAGAAGATTCAGAAGATGCTTTAATAAAAAGAAGGACCAGGAGATACATGATAGCCGTGTTCTAATATCTCAGGGGCTGCCACAAAAAGAGGGAGTCAAGCTATTTTCCAAAGCACCTGAGGGCAGGACAAGAAACAATGGGTCGAACCTAATCAAGGAGAGAAGCAACCTAGAACTGAGGAGAAATTTCCTGACAGTTATAACAATTAATCAATGGAACAACTTGCCCCCAGGAGTTGTGAATGTTCCAACACTGGAAGTTTTAAAGAAGAGATTAGATAAACATTTGTCTGAAGTGGTGTAAAGTTTTCTGCCTGAGCAGGGAGTTGGACTAGAAGACCTCCAAGGTCCCTTCCAACTCTGTTATTCTATTCTATTCTATTCTATTCTATTCTATTCTATTCTATTCTATTCTATT